CCCCTGGGACCTGACAGTACGGCCTGTTTGTGCCCCGCCTGCGGAGGCTGAGCGACATAGGTGCGCCTTTAACAGCATCTCCCCCCCCGCCCCCCACACACACACACACACACGACAGTGATGTCATGTCATGTCTCCCTGCTTCCGGGGTCCGCAGAGCGCCGCGGTAACATTCATAGCACAGACCTCCCACCGCCGTGTCCCTACCCCCCCACACCATGTGGTCTTGTGGCATTTTAAGCCAGGGCCACAAATCCAGGATAATCAGCAAACCTGCAATCCACTCCAGAGTCTGCATGTCGACCTGAATCTGGGAATATGGGCCAATTACGGGATGCGGACTCTGTCCAGCCCTGCTGCTAAGTGGAGAGATTTCACTGCTTCCTTCATTAGATATTTTAGCCAGTATTTTAGGTCTGCAAAGCCTCATGTCTTTGCGGGAAAAACAATTTCAGCGAATTACAGTTCCTGTTCAATACCCTGCAGGGGTATGAGGCCTAATGGTTTAATTTCTTGGTTGTGGTTTTATTTCTGGGAATATTGTTGCGTGTGTGAACACTACGCCCCAGCCCTCAGCAAGCAGAGTCTATCATTGCCAAACATAATTTTTCTTGAAGATTTAAAGTGGAATGATTGAGCTGAAGATGAAAGATTGAAAGCATTTACAGTTATACAGAGTTAAATTAGCCTATTTCTAGGAAGGTAATACAAATGCAAATGAACACTATTTGTTTTTCTTGGGTGTCCTTTAGATGTTTGACAGACGACCTTCTCCTGCTCCGTGTTTATTTGGGGGGGGGGGGGCTGCAGGTGCTGGGTCATCCTGTCACTGTCTATTCTGCTCTCCCTGCGAATGGAGTTAGCCTCTGCTGACCTCTGACCTCCAGGCCCTCAGATTAAGTCTTCTGCTGGAACCTGTGAGGGGATTTTCGAATCCACAGTGGGTCATGGAGACCCTGAGGAACTGGACCTGCAACCAGAAGAAAATAGATCTGAACCTCACTGTCTAAACCCATAATATTGTAAGTGGCAGAAGATCTCATTTTACATAATTGTCCCCTGGAAAAAAAGATCCTTTCTCTGTGGTGCGACCTCCTGCTGATCTCGCTAAAATATTCATGCCGGAGATTCCCCTTCAACAACCGCTGCTCACTCACTCCCTGGCAGCAGGGGGCAGTGTTCCAGCCACGTTTCCATGGCAAAAGGGTAACCATAACCTAAGGAGGCTATGATTCAGAAAAATATGGGCAGGTGTGCATGGCGTGATGCCCAAAGGGCAGCGTGGGTCCGGCGTAGGTGGGGGCAGCAGGGATTTTCATGCTTGTCTGGGTCGTAGCAGGCGAACGCTGGTGTCTGCTAAAGCTGTGTATGTAATGTGCTCTGGCGCCGTGCGGGAGAGTGTCTGGACTCTCCGTCGGCTTAGGAGGTTCCCTCCAGTTATCTGTGCTACCTGATCGATAAGCCTGCACTCAGACCCGACAGAGGCACAGCGAAAGATGGAGTGAGTGCCTCTCTAATCCCATTCCACACCTCCTCCCTGTCCGTTTCCCCTTCTGCCCTCCGCTCAGCCGCATCGCCGCCGATCTGAGTGCTAATTTCTTAGCTCTGTGCTCATGCTCACGCTCGCATTATTTTTTGTTTGTTTGTTTCTTTGAGGGATTTTCTGTTCAGGGTCAGACAGGCAAAGCCAGCCCTCGGTCGGGATTTTGTCCTCCAGGGAGGGGTTGTCCCGTGATTTATTGTTTTGCATTTTATTCAAATTTTTTTTTTCTAAAGGGGAAATCGAGCCAGCTGCCATGGAGAGATAGAAAGCGAGAAGACCCGAGCAAAACACTGATTGGCTCTCAGCTTGTTGCTAGGGACTTCAGGCTGCTCTTTCATTGGCCCACATGACTGGGAGCTACCCAGAATCCACCATCCTTTAGTTGTTATGATGAGGTTCATGAAGTGAGAGGATGGAATAGCAGTATAACGAGTCTGTCCACTATTATTTTATAATGTTGTTCTTTGTTTTCGCACAACAGGTTAATATGATACCCTGATTCTATGTCAGTTCTGCTGTATTTCATACTATATTTACACATTCATTCATAAAAGTATTTAATAATTTTTATTACAACCACAAAATCAGGAATGAAAAGTAAGTTAATCTTTGCTTTAAAAATGATATACATTTTTGCACAAGTACGATGGTGATACTGTTGGTGTAAAGTTCTGGAGAAGGAGAAGGTACCACCTGGCCATGGGTGTTTCTGGTTCTGGTTCAGGTGTTTCTGGTTCTGGTTCAGGTCCGGGATAGGTTAGGGACGATGGGAATTGGGGTGTGGAAGAGGGCGTTTGGCATTACCCGCCCCCACAGTCCACCGATGTGAGGAGTGACCGGATCGTGCGCCGGCTGTGGACGTGCAGCGCTCGTGAATCCCTGTAGGGCCCTGGGGGCTGGAGCTGAGCATGTAGTGTCCTGCAAAGCCTCCTCAAGGTGCTGGGTTTACTCTGAGAGCTCTGGCTTATGGGTTATGGCACGTGTAAAGGGATGCAGTCTGTGTGTGGCTGCGGACTGATGCCCTTTAGCTGAAGTGTGTCATGTGACATGCCCTGGGTAACAGCCGGCTGGCTTGTCATTGGGGATGTCTCAGGAGCCCCCCCTCCCCCCCAGCCACGCATGAGAAACCCTAAGTCAGTGGTGTTCAGCAGCTTTGGAACTGCTTTGGGCATCTGGCCCTGAGCAGAGCGCTACCCCCCCCCCCCCATTCCTGGGTCACATTACCCCTCACCGTCCGTCCCCTGTACCATTAAACAGCAGGACAAACACACCTTGTCTTCGCTGACACTGTCACTCCACATGGTGTCAACAGCTGTTGTTCCCTCTCAATTGCAGAACTAAAACCTGGAATGTGTGATGTGACAATAGCCCAGCCCGAACCAGATCCACCGCCCCGGTGTAACGGAAGTACATGTGTGTGCATGTGTGTGTGTCTGTGTGTGTATCTGTGTCTGTGTGTCTCTGTGTCTGTGTCTGTATGTGTGTCTGTGTCTGTATGTGTGTCTGTGTCTGTGTGTGTCTGTGCCTGTGTCTGTGTGATTGTCTGGTCTAGAAGCCACTGACTTGTGTCAGTGGCTCAGAAGGGCTCTGAACGAAAGACGCAGCACTGATCTGTGAGGTTGGGCTCCCGGCTGATAATCAGCTGAGGGTCAGCTGGGCGGAGGAGTTTGACAGGGAACTGGGAGGCTGGAGTAGAGGGAGAAGGTGACGGAGCATGTTCGTAAAACTGCGGATTGAGGGATACGGAAAGAGAAAGGGAGAGAGGGCAGTGGGCAGAGTAGGAGAGCAAGAATGGCTCAGTCCACGGACCCCAAGAGATCAATTTTCTCCCCAGATGGCCAAATTCATCTTACCCTTCCCTCTCAGCTTTAACACAAGAGCAGCTCATTCCTGCCTGCCGCTGTGTGATTCTCGCCATCGTGGCTCGTCGTTTGTTCCGGTTGGATAAAATGTGGTTGCTGAGTGTCTGATGTTCTAGTGAAGTCACATTCTAAAGGCAGTGGTATAAGAACAAGCTGATCTGTTCTAGAAGGTTGGCCGGATACGTAGAGCTGTGAGTGGTGAGTCGTGTAGCTGGTGGGCTGTTGCACATTTTCTGTAGGGCCATAAAAACAAATAAGGAATGATGCATCCGCATGGGCGGGTCCTCTGGCTGGCCGCCAGCGCTGGCTTTCAGGAAGACGCCTCATTTCACGGTGATCAGTGAATTTCTCATTGCATGCAGTGACTTTACCGTCCTCTGACGAGTTCCTCTAGTCCTCAGTGCACGGCACTGCTAGCTTAGCTAGTTCTTCCTATTCCTGCAAGCAGAATGAGGTTGAGGCGTCGATGGGGGACATCGGTGAATTGGCTAAGGGAGTCAGTTGCAACCCAGAAGGTTACAGGTTTGAGACCCAGTTCAGCAAGCACAGCTGTGCAGAAAAATCAGAGTGTCTTCCAAGGTAGAGACTCTCTACAGTAATTGACATGGCACAAGGAACAGAGAGGGTCCACAACAATTGACATAAGGCAGGGAGGCTTTGTGGCAACTGATACAGGGCAGGGAGGCTCCACAGCGACTGATACAGGGCAGGGAGGCTCCACAGCGACTGATACAGGGCAGGGAGGCTCCACAGCGACTGATACAGGGCAGGG